CCGCCCCGCCCGCGGCCGGGAGGACGCCGGCGCGAGCGTGCGGCGCATGCGTACGCCCCTCTGGGCCCGCCCGCGGCGCCGACGCCTTCCTGGCCGCGTCTTTGGGGCGCGACGCGTTTATTTGCAGTTTCCGCCCGGTGAGGAAGCTGGCGTGCTAGCTTCGGAAGCTGGTTTATGTCTTGTTTGTCTTTGTTGATGATTTCAGTCACTTCCTGACCAAACGGACGAAGCGGGGAGGGGGAGAGCGTCCTGGTCCTGTCGGGGAGCTTGGACCCTGAGGGGACCCTGAGGGGACCCTGAGGGGACCCTGAGAGGACCCTGAGAGGACCCTGAGGGCTGGGTGAGAGTCTGTCGTACACCTTGCGTTGGCTGTGGATCGTACTTGGTTAACAATAAGGCCAGGAGCGGAACGCCCAGCACGTTTCCGTTGAAGGGCTTTCCTGTCGTTGGGTCTGCGGCCGCGCCCGTCGGGGGCCGACTCGCGCCTGCGCGCCGGCCGCGGGGAGGACGTGAGAGCAGCGCTCCGGGTCCGGTTCGGGTTTGCCGTCCGCCGGCAGCTGCTCGGGAGCGCCTTGTGCTGGGATCGGGCCTGGAAGAACGGAACGTCGGAATCTTGCGCCCCAAGTACGGCACTTCGGGGCCGCCGCCCGGCTTCGCAGCGCGTTGGCAGAGAGCTGAGCCCACCGCCTCGCTCATAAATCGCGGAGAAAATAGGCTTTTTTTTTTTTTTTTTTTTTTGTGAAAGAAAATGGTACGTGTGGACGAATAGGGCCTGGCGTGCTGTAAGCCTGGCGTCATTTCAAACAGGTCAACAGAGCTTGCGCTCATGAACTTGGGCCGGTTAAGAAAGCAATTTCATCTTCAGTTACAATTTTTGAATAATTCTTTTTGCTTATTTCAGTTCTGTAGTGAGTAGAATTCCCCACAGGGTGGCAGAAAGTAATTTGATATAATTGTGTGTGTGACCTTTAGTTTTTTTCATTTTAGTACCTACCATTTAATAAACTTGATCGCTGTTTGCCTTGGTTTTCAGTAAGCCATTCTACTATTTACCTTTTTATTCCCACCTCATGATTTATTCATTCTTACTGTTGAAATTCGACAAACTACAGATATGCCAAAAGATAATCACTATTAATATGTCAGCTTTAGATTTATGTCTACATAGAACTATGTAAATGAACATGTGCCTTTATAAAAATGTACCTCATAGTTTAAAATCTCCCTTTTCATTTAAAAATATAGCATGACCTTCTTTTGAGGTCAGTATATTTCAATACCATATTTTTAAAGGATTATTTATTAGCAAGTCATGCTGAACATTTAGGTAGCTCCGTGTTTTAGTTTTATAAAAGTACTGCCAGCGTGGTCTAATGGCGTACACCTCTAATCCCAGCATGTGGCGGCTGACAGGAGAATGTAAAGTTCAAGGCCAGCCAGCCTGAGCTACAGGGCGAAACCTTGTCTCAAGTACACCAAGACCCAAATAAACACTAACAAAACAAAGCAGATAATAACAGTGCCTCCCAACCCAGCACGTCATAATGTCCAAAAAGTCAGAAACATAGGACCAACTTGGCCAAATAGTGTATGTTATGTTTTCAAATATGGTCAATATATTTTCCTTCAACAGAAGTGTCTCAGATCCCATGAATCCAATTGTTACTCTGAAAAGTATTTACAGTTTTCTGTTTACAGACTTCGTTCATAATAGTTTATTTTAAAGATTAGCGTTCCTCTGTGCATCTTTAAGTAGGCAGACGTTCAGAGATATTTAGATTTTTAAGAAATGAAAATGAATTCAGAAAAAATATGGCTTCTAGACCCTACATAAAAAGAATTACACAGAGGGCCTGGTGAGATAGCTCAGCGGTCTAATGTGCCTACTTAGGCAAACTTAGGCTGGAGCAGGGGACTGAGGTTCAATCTCCAGCACCGTGTACTGAGCCAGCCCCACCCTCAGGATGGGCTGAGCAGGCAAAAAAAAAAAAAAAAAAAAGTATTAAATAGAATGTGATATGTTAGCTCTATCACCATGATGTCTTCTCTTATGATTCCTGGCTTTGGTCTGGTGTGTACATAGGCTTTCCTTACCCTGAAATTCTACGAATAGTCACTGTTTTCTTCTGGTGGTTTCTATTTTTTAACACGGATTTCCAATCCAATTGGAATGTTGTGCTTTACTGTAAAACAGGGCATCTGATTTTATTAAATTGACTAGGTTGTCTCACACCAATTTTTTTTTTTTCTGACACCATCTATTGAAACATCTAGTAATTCTTTAGCTCAATGAGAACTTAGATGAATGCCTGCTTCCCGAGTTGTCATTTTGCCCATTTCTGTCCAGCATCCAGTCATCTGATAGCTGTGTTAAGCACTATCAGCAGTCAGTGCTGTTGGGCCCTACTGTAGATGCAGGAAAATGCGACTCAGTGTCTGCTTCCATAGGGCTCCTTCACAATAGAGAGGGACACAGGAAGTTAGGAAACACTTAAGTTCACATGATCTGCATTCTTCCAAGCTAAGGCTACATTGAAGGGCACTGAGCAGACGGGAGGGAGCAAGGGAGAGGCAGTAAAAGGAGGGTTCTGGGGAGGTAGCGTTGAGCCTAGCGATGAGAGGTGGATCTTCTAAGAACAGGGCATGGCATGTGCTGGCTCTGCGGTGTCTAGGCACTACTTGAGAGGCAGCCTGGTGGAGCTTCCTGAGAGAACACCTTTGAGGGGGCAGCACTCACCTGACTGCAGGCTTTAGTGTGTGTGTGTGTGTTAAAATCATTCGTGAGACTGTCCTACTTCATATATCAAAAACACTTGACCAACAGAGTTGAACAGGTGCCGAGTCCATGCCCAGAACTGGCATTCGTGAATGAAGAAACATGGCAGGCATGGGTACCATGTGCCCTGTGCTAGCAGCTTGTGCCCTGGCAAGCCTGGTGGGAGGGACCCCCGGCCACACTGTGAATGCCAGGATTACCTGTTGTCTCAGGGGGAGCGGTGGAGTGGCATTTCCTCGGGATGGGGACAGAGGGGAGGACCAGTCCCAGGGAATTAATAACTACTACTGCTCCTTTCTCCTCCCCCGCACTCCTGTGTTGTCCTTGTAGATGATAGGATAATGATGGCAGTTGCTGTCTTTTTTATGTGGAAAACTGGTCTTGGTAGACATTTTGTATTCTGTTTCCATCCTCTCCTGGGCCATCTGCTGTGGAAGTGGGAGAGCTCGAACTAGCTTCTCCGGAGCATGCGGGTCCCTAGAGAGCTCAGTTCTGCCTCCTTGTGTTCTGCTGTTCCTATTGTTGGTCTTTTCTCCCTCATCCAATCAGTGTCCTGCTGTCTCCTGACAGAGGGAGAAATGGGTGCGCCCTTCCTCTGCATTAAGAGCAGTTACACTCCTTCAGGTTGGTTTTTAAGTAATCATAAGCATGTCATCTTCTCACACTGCTCTGCCTGACGCCTCTCCTAAGGCGGGCCCTACAGATGGCAAAATCAAGGTATCTGTTAGAACAACAGAGTGTCTGTGATGGCTTTTGTGGGCCCATCTGACAGTTTCCTGCAAAGCAGTAAAGGTATCCCTTCTGGGTGGATGAAGGCTGAGTGCAGCCTTTTCCAAACCTCACCAGACACTTCTGTGCTGGTTTTTTTTTTTTTTTTTTTTTAATTTTATTTGTGTGTGTGTGGGGGGGGGCAGCTCAGCCCAGCAGGGGGCGGGGCTGGCTGGCATGTGGTGCTGGGGGATTGAACCGCGGTCCCTGTGCTTTGCTTAGCTTGTTCTAAGTAGGTGCTTTAGACCACTGAGCCATCTCACCAGCCCCTGTGCTGGTTTTCAGGACTTTCTCGCCTCCTGCACAGAGAGAGAAGCCTTGCTCCTGAACCTAGGCCGTGGCGCGTAGGTAAAGGAATGCGCCCTCCGGTGAGTGCTGAGCGCAGGCCCTGCCTGCTCAGCTGGCCAGCCCAGCCCGGTTCCCTACTAGGATCTTGGAAAGGAGTGTAATTCTCTTATTTATAGTACAAGGACTTCCTTATTGTTCTGCGAATAAAGCATTTCTGGAGAATTGGTTCGAAGTCTCCAGAAGTGTCTGACCTCCTGACTGCGGCTCACGAGGCCTGCTTCCGCCCTCGGACCAGACGCCGAGCAACATACGCCGCTGAGCACTGGTAGAGAAAGACCTCTGAGCCAGCACTTAGAAAATGCTGCGTGAGTTCATTTCCAAAAGGTGTGAGATATATTAAATAAAGCTCTCGAAAGTGACTTCCTCTTCACTGTATGATTTTTATAGGCGTTGTTATTCTTTCTTACAAGCATATAAATTCAGTGATGTTTGGCAGCTCACTTGCAATTGAAAGAAAAAAAAAACTATGAAGTATCCTTTTTACGTGGACTGAAGATGTCTTTGTTGGTTAAGCTTGAGGGGAACACGATACAATTATATATTCATTTAATTATTCATGACTTGAATCCGAAATGAATGTGGGTATGTTTTTCACTTGCTCACTTTCTGACATTCAAAACTAAGCCCAGCAGCAGTTTTGTTTCAGGCACAGTGACGAGCTTCTTTCCCACAATGAACTAGTCAGAGAAATTGTTCCAGAGAGAACTTGTGCTTTCCTATTTCAGAAAGTCAAACTGGGCCAACGCACCCCTCACACCTCACCGTGGAGGGCGCGTCTGTACCCCAGGAACCCTGGAGGGAAGCCACGCCACCCATTTCCAAGTGATATTTCCACATGTAGAGTGGATTAGAGCCACTTGGGGGAGAACTGGGGTTGCCTAGGCTCTACATGCAGGACTGCAAGGGTCACTCAGGAGAACACAGGCCCACTGAGGGTGGCAGGTGTGTGCGTGCTGTCCAA